GACACAGCAGGGACACAGCAGGGACACAGAAGGGACATGGCAGGGACACGGCAGGGACACAGCAGGGACACAGCAGGGACACATCGGGGACACAGCAGTGACACAGCAGGGACACATCAGGGACACGGCAGGGACACAGCAGTGACACAGCAGGGACAGAGCAGGGACACATTGGGGACACAGCAGTGACACAGCAGTGACACAGCAGGGACACAGCAGGGACACAGCAGGGACACAGCGAGGACACAGCAGGGACACAGCAGGGACACATTGGGGACACAGCAGGGACACAGCGGGGACACAGCAATGACACAGCAGTGACACAGCAGGGACACAGCAGGGCCTGGCTGTCGCTCAGCCTCGTTAGCAGCTCCTGCTCCTCATGAAGCCCGGCTGTAAGTGGAGCGGTGACAATGACAGGAGCCAGTGTCGCACAGAGTCCCCGAGCTGCAGAGGCGAATCACAGGCGCCCGGGAGCTGATGCTTCATCACTGAACCCCTCTCATCTCTGCTCTGGTGTCTCCTGCACCCGGGGCTTCCACCCCTCCCTGCCTGGGATCTGTTCAGAGTTGTTTTCTGAAGGGATTTTGCTGCGTTAGACAGAGCTGAGGTGCCGGTGCAGGTTTGGGGCTGCCCAGCACGGCCACCCCGTGCCCCTCATCCCTTCCTTTGTCCCGCAGGTGCCCAAGGGCAGCAGTGTCCCAGCGGCCACAGAGATCACCAAACCCCCGGTGGTGTCCCAGGCTCAGGAGAGGAAGCCCCGGGTGGCCTACAAAACCGAGATTGTTGGSGGGGTGGTGGTGCACACACCCATCTCCATCAACCAGGTGAGCTGCTTTGCACCTTCATTTCTGGAAACGCGTCTCAAACCTTTCCCCTGCAGCTGTAAATGGCTGCTCTGAGCAGCCTGCAGCACCTCTGCTTTGTCTCCCTCTGAACTGTGGTGAGGTCAGGGGCTGTGAGGAGGAGGAGGAGGAGGTCACAAACCTGCTTGGCTTCCTGGCCATCATCACCCACCCACCCACATGTCCTGGGTCCAGATCCCCTCCTGAGGTGCCCAGGGCAGAGGAAGTTGTTTTCTGAAGGGATCTTTTCCGTGTCTGGTGCTCCCATGGCAGCAGCAAGAGGAGCTGTGGTGGCTCTGCATCCCTTCCCTGGCACACAGCCGGGTGTCCATGTGGCTGCCAGTGTCCCCCACCTTCGGGCATTTGTCCAGCCCTGGGTCTCACCTCAACTCTGATCAGTGGCAGCACTAAAAACAGAGCAGAGAATTAGATCACACAGCAGTTTCTGCTTTTAACACTTCCCTGGCTGCAGGGCTGGGCAGGATGCAGAGGTGTGCGGAGGGTTGTGGTGTGCAGAGGGGTTTTTTGGAGGTGGTGCAGCAGAAGATTTCCGTGCTCTGCGCTTCCCCCGTGTGAAATGGCCATTGCTCTGCTGCAGCTTCCTGGGCGTGTCCGTGGTTTCCTGGCTGTCCCCGTGGGCAGTGCCACGCTCTGGCTGCACCCCCAGAGCGGCCAGCAGCATCCCCCCGGCTCCTGGAGACCCCTGCA